CGCTTGTAATTTTTGCCTGCATGCACCATCCCCCGCTGCCACGGCCGTCATCTTCTCTCATTTTCTCACATGCACTTTGGTGTCAAATGTGTTCGCTTGTGTCTTGTATGTGCTTGTTTCATGTGCGTGCCCAGGCCACACATCGCTGGTGCGCTGTGTGCGGTTCGACGACAGATTCATCGTGTCTGGATCCTACGATGGGTGCGTCCTCACACACGTGATGTTGGAGTGCCACAGTTTCCAGTTGCAAATGATTGTTACGCCCGCACAACCAACACCGCCGCCGCTGCCTGCAAGAGCACCGTCTCACCACTGCTCCTCTGGTCCACGTGCTACTTTCTCCCTTTGTGCTCACTTCACTCACTAACACCTTTGTTCTCCCCAAACTTCATCATCAACATCATCATCATCATCATCATTATCATCATCATCATCATCATCATCATCATCATCATCATCATCATCATCATCATCATCATCATCATCATCATCATCATCATCAAGGACGGTGCGCGTGTGGAACTTCCAGACGGGCGAGCCTGCGCCGCGATTGGAGGGACACGACAACCGCGTGTTCCGCGTGCAGTTTGATGCGTTCAAGATTGTGAGCAGCTCCCAAGACGACACGCTGCGGGTGTGGGACTTCTCGCGTGATGTGACGGCGTATTGCAAGAGCAGGATAGGGGAACTTGGCCAGCAGCTGAGCGACCTCTGATCGTCCTCTTGTCTGTGTGTGTCTGTGTATGCTCTGTGTCTGTGTCTGTGTCTGTGTCTGTGTCTTGTCTCGTGTCCTCTGCTCCGACTATTTTTCCTATGTGCCCTGCCCGTATTGTCTTCGTCTGTTTGCATCTGTTTGCATCTGTGTGTCGCATGATGGTGGGGGGGGGTGGCGACTCCTCTTCATTGGCTCTACCCACGCACCCCTCTCCAATTGACCTCTTTCCTTCTCTCTCCTTGCTCTTGCCTTGCTCTCTCCATGCTCTCTCCTTGCACTCTCTTCCATCAATCTTGTTTTGTTCATGGGTTGTGATGACTTTACTTCACACGTGGCGCGTGTGCACTCTGCCCGTTGCGTTTGTTCCTTGGCGACGCGTGATGTGTTGTCGCGGGTGTTTTCTAATGCGGTGTAAACGGTTAATCAACGAGCAAGCAAGAAGAAAGCAGTGCGCCAACCAGAACAGCGTACATGAACATACAACAAGAACACCAACCAAAGCCACGCACTCTGTCGTCCTTGCCAAAAGCAGAAACGTTCGTGAGACTGGACACTACCTCACACCAACACTCGCGCGCGCACACTGCGCACACTGCGCACACTGCGCACATACACTGACAACAAGGTGTTTGCAAACCTTGACACATCATCACACGACACGCACGTTCACGCAACAAAACAACAACAAACAACATTTGCACAACTTCAGACATACTGCGACAACAGCAACACACACACACACACACACACACACACACACACACACACACACACACACACACACACACACACAAATACGCGATGACAGGCGGGAGACACGCGGGGAGTTGCGGCTACTTGCGAATGAGGAGGTAGAGGCTTGAGTCGAGCTCGAGGCCTGGCTTCATGAGCGCGCTGCGGTTGCCCTTGAGACGCATGAGCATGCCACCATATGACGCGTACACGGCCACCTGCCCTTCCTTCTCCTCCACACGGTAGATGGTCCCGTGCATCACATAGTCGAAGCTGTCCGCCAGCGATGACTCGCGGTTCTGTGAGGTGGATGGAGGATGGGGAAATACGGTGACATGCAGAAGGACAAACGTACACGGGCACTGGGATCCAAGCCTCATCCAATTACTGGTCACGAAATGCAGCACGCATACACGCACACACACTCACACGAGAACATGCACACACACACACGAGCATACACACACGAGCATACACACAAACGCATACGCACACGCACGTGCAACACAGCTTGGTTGCAACGCACCTGTACGTATGTGCCTGAGCTGGGCGCAGCCTCGTCATCCAAGCTCCGCGCAAGGCATAGCGAAAACCTGCAGCAGTGTGTATATGTGTGTGTGTTGGTGGAGTGGTTGAGAATGGCAGTTGAAGGTGGACGCCCGTGTATCTATGCGCATGCAGGTACACACATACAAACGACGCACAAGCATACACGACGCACGTGCACGTACAAGCATACACACACAGACACACAGACACACACGCAACGCACTGTTCATCGAGCTCCATGGGGTAGAGCTGTGTGTTGAGGTCGAGGATGAGCTCGAAGCCGGTCATGAAGGCTTCGCACACGATCCTTGAGACCCTGCCAAGTTACACGCCATTAGGACCGCTGACTGAGCACGTGTTCAAACGCATCTACACAACCATGCACATTCCGCGACAGATTCAGCCACCAAACCACACCAGCCACGCTCGTCCCTGCATGTGTGACTAAGCGCCACCCTTCCCCTCCCTTCCCCCTCCCCCGGCGCTGGTCACCACCCACCCAGT